TGTGAGCAACCTACCCGGGGCTGGCGCCGAGCTATGGCACCGAGCTGGCGCACTTACCAAGTCCTTCTTGTTGGGCGGCAGCACCGCGCCCGCCTCCAGCTCGAAGATGGGCAGCGGGAACACCTTGGGGTTGGGCCTGGCGAGGGGCTTGTCCTGCCGCCGGATCATCTCGAGGAAGTCCGGGATGACGCCCGGCGACGGGTACAGCTCGATGTCCGAGGCCAGGAGGTAGTGCGTGGCGGCGGCCTCGCGCGCGATGTTGCGGCCCACGTTGACGGGGTACAGCAGGCCCTTCTGCGCCTTGTACAGCGCCGAGGCCGTGACGTTGGTCCAGGGCGCGGGCCGCGAGCAGTTGGCGGCCGGCAGCGTGGCCTTGTCGGGCCGGGGCACGACGCGCGGCACGTGGCGCGCGCCGAAGAACACGTGGAAGGTGACGAGCTTGGCGACGAGCGGCGAGCCGCAGTCGCGCGCGTAGCGGATGGCCTCCAGCGTGGGCGCGAAGTCGGTCCCGGGCGCGTACATGGCCAGCGAGACGGGCCCGCGCCAGCGCTCCAGCATGGGCGACAGGTTGTCCAGGAACGTGTAGTCGGCGTGCGTCGTGTACGTGACGCTCTCCCAGCAGTGGTACGACTCGGAGGCCTGCACGTAGTTGTACAGCACCCAGTAGTCGCCGCGCTGCGCCGTCCGCGGCTCGATGCTGCGGTCGTGGCAGGCGATCACGTCCTGCAGCGTCTTCTCCGTGGGCTCGCTCTGCTGCGCCTGCTGCTGCGTCGTGCTGGTCGCCTTGGCCGGCGTCACGGCCGGGTCGGCGGCGGGCGCGGCGGCCTGCGGCAGCAGCGCGGGCGGCGGCATGCCCTCGTCGGGGTTGCTGCCGCCCGCCACCACCACGGCCGGCGCGCCGTCCGCTACCGTGGCCTGCTGCAGCTGCTGCTGCTGCTGCTGCTGCGGCTGCTGCGGTGGCGGCGCCGGGGGGAGGATGTCGTTGGCCTGGGGGCCGTCCGTCTGGGGCGGCGCAGGCATGTCGATGGACGCCAAGTTGCGGCCGGACGCCTGAAAGGAGAAGGTCGGCCGTTAGAGATACGAGGGAGCTGTGCGCACCGGAATTTAAGGGCACAATACTTCAAAATTAGATGCAATATAGTCATATTTACAGTCTTTTATGGTCAATGGCGTCCGTGCGTTCCAAGGTCGCGCTTCGCGCATATCACTTTAACGTGCAACGAATTGTTGTCCACGACATATTAGTGTGTGCAGTTAGTTTGCGGATAGTGAGATGGTGTATTCGAGGTTATTCGCCATCGATAGCGGGGTGCTGGCCTTACGGTCACTCAAAACGCCGTAATCGCATACGTTGGGCCAAAACTTTCCAAAAGTTTTCTCCGCTTCTTGTGCCTAATTTTGGCTAGAAAAGTGACCAAACTTTGGCAAACAAAAAGAAGTGGTAAAGTTTTGGCGAGCTAGCAGGCGCTAGGCGACCACGGCGTTAGCGGTACGCAGTAAGCTTACAGTAACACGCAAAAGTAACCGTTGAATGTCGTGAAAATCGTGTCAGACTTTAAAAGAAGTGTTTTGCCATCGTCTTCTCGTTCTTATCAATGTGAAAAAAAACCTCGTAAATTTACAAACATTTTATAATTTACTATTATCAACAAACGTTGTTAATTTATGACGGTGAGTTTCAAGTCGATGCGTTGTAGTCGGCTCGTTATTTTAAACCATTTTAAAATTGCAATTTTTCGGCATGGTTTACGGAAAATGTTCCCGAAAACCTACAAAACTATTTTTCACAGTGATTGCTTCTTGCTGGAAGGTCGTAGTATGATGTGGATGTCCCGAATGTACCACGCGCGTTTCCCACGGGCCTTGTTGGTCCTCACCTGCAGCTCCTCAATGAGGACGACGGCTCCATTCTTGGTGGCAAAGTGCGAGCCGAAGTAGAGCAGGATGACCACGTTGAGGATGACAGACAGCCGCAGCAGCCAGTTGCGGCGCGCCAGCATGGCGG